CTGGATCCTGCAACATTTTCCTGAACACATATATTTGCCTTCATTTATCAGAGGTGGAATCTTCCAGATATGTTGGGCCATCTCTCAAAATCATGGCCTTATTGGAATTCAACTCACTGAGGAAGAGCTGGTGTTGATCAATATGACTGCCCGAGTTGACGCCATGGTCCCAATCATTTATCTGCAGAAGGATGCAGCAGCCAAACCAACGTTTTAGGCACTTAGCACAAAATTATAAGAATCTATTGTAGCATACCATAGATAGCATCTGGAGTTGCTATGCGTACCCAGGTGCCCACGAGTGTGTGTTGCCAACCAGAACATTAATGCGTGTGCTTATTTAATTTATTTTTTGCATGCACAATCAGTCGCCTTCCATTGTTCAAATGGAAATGTTCTGGGTAGAAAAGGCATAAGGCGTTTTACATTTATGGAAAGGAGTAACCGGTTCCTCTGTTTGATAACAAGGTGTTTTCCGTTTGTCTGTAATTATGGCCCAGCTGGTTGTCCTGGTTGCCCACAAAAGCAAGCTATCTGCTTAATCTTTAATTGTGCAAGACGTTTCTGCTGGAATCTGCATTCATTACCCCGTAACAGGCGAGAGGTGAAATATCCTTCAATGATTAGTTCAGTCTCCAGAGCAGAATGAAAGCAACGTCTCTTCTTAAATGCAGATTTTGCATTGGGCTAAGCAGGACTTCTGGTCCATGTTTGATGCAGAAAACAGAATTTTCATAGATGAGATAGCTGTAGAAGGGCTAATGCAGAAGCACTGTACAGGTAGTCCTCGACTTACGACTGCAATTGAGCCCAAAATTTCTGTTGCTAAGGAAAGGTGGAAGATGGGATGGATGGATGGATGGATGGATGGATGGATGGATGGATGGATAGACAGACAGACAGACAGACAGACAGACAGACAGACAGACAGACAGACAGACAGACAGACAGACAGACAGACAGACAGACAGATAGATAGATAGATAGATATTGCACCCCTGAAATTATTTCACCTATAATAACAATACCTGGAAGCTAGGTGACATGGTTGCTAAAAACTGGAGACTTTCTTTCAGTTGTGCCTATAAACAGAATGAAATAAAACAAATTAATTTGGTCTCATGAAACATCAATCACATGCTTCCTCCTCCATTCAAATAGAACCAGAAGCACTAGCTTTGAGCCCCCTGCTCAGACTGCACCTTGCAGAATTCCTAACCAGAATGGGCCCCATCTAGAGGGCAGCATGTTGGAGAAGGTTCCTCTACCGTGTTCAAAAGATTTCCATGAATAATGAAAAGCTAGGAGCTGTCTTGCTGAATTTCAAATGGAGGTTCCTTGGTATGCTTCTCTGAAGGCTTACCACAAGGGTCTCTATTGGGAGGACCATCTGGTTCTGGATTCTTTTGAGCTTCAGGGCTTCCTCAACCAATCGTTCTGCCAGAGTTCTGTCGCTCTGCAGGAAACATCAACATCTCTGGGTTGGCTGGGAAGTGAGGATGGGAGTTTGAGAAAGACTTTGGTGACCTGCTTCCCTCCCTATAAATGGCCACCCATCTCTTCTGGTTTCCCCACCTGAACGTTACTCAACCTTTCAAGATCTACCGCCAATCCTTCAACATCGGTCCTCACCACAGGGTTGCGCATCTGCAAGAGAAATAATTAGCCATTTAGCGGGCTGTGAGAATATCCTTGGGGGGAGGAAATAAGTAGCTGAGTCAGACAGAAGGAATCTCAGTCCGCAGAAGGAATGGAGGTGTCAAAAGTGTCTCAGATGGGACCTTCCCTAGTTCTCTGGAAAGTAAAGGCGGGAGATGGGAGAGGAGCTTTCAAACTTGCAAGCTTCTGTTACTGTAAGGTGTCCCTGCGGATTATATCCTGCTAATCGTGACCAACTTTAGGAGGTGGTGCTCATCTCCATTTCTTAAGTCAAAGAGCCAGCATTGTCTGGAGACGTTTCCACAGTCATGTGGCCAGCGTGACATCATGCCCCAGCACAGAGCATACAGCAAAACATGGAATGCTGTTACTTTCCCGCATGCTTACATGCTGTTACTGTAACCTGACAGTAAAGGTGGAGTTAGTAATCATGGCCTGAGGGTCTTGTCTGGACTACCTCGAAGGGTAGTGACTTCTACATACCGACTTCTGCATCTGTAGTTGTGGACAGAAATGGGAGTCCAAAGGTGTTTTTCCAAAAGGCAACTGGACTTCCTAACTGGACTTTTCTAACCAAGAAAGTCCAGCTGCACCTTTGGGACAGCCATGGCCTGGATGATCGAGGATCTCCATAGGCTCAGAGTGCAGGACTTCTCTCTCTTTCCCCCAGTAATAGACTCACCTCTGCTGTGAAGTCAGCAAAGTTGATCAGGTCCACCTGGCTCTTTCTGAAGGTCTCCAAGTCCTGCCTTCCCTCTGCATTTAACAACACAATATCTTCAAAGTGGAGGTTGACGTCACGGAGATGTTCCTGAAACTCTGTTGTGTACTGGGAGGAAACAAAGGCTGCTTTTACAACGGCAAGTTTTAGGGCGATTATTTAATTTAAGTTTTAATTAAGTTTAATTTATTTTTCATTGTTTTATTCTCCTAATAAATGTATTCCTTTTTCTGAATTTATGAGCTGTCCAATTTTCAGTCAGTGCTGGGAACCCCCCCCCCCC